TCATTTTTGTGTAACAACTTTATATTTGTAATTGACAAGAGATAAAACAAAAAAGCCATAAGCGAGATCGGTGTACTGAACACTTCCCATAGGAGGCGGAGCTGTAGCAAATACCTTCCTGTGATTGGCTGTTGCAGGGAATGCCAACACTCTTTCTATGAATAAAATGCAAACTAAGAAATATGTCCTTTTGCGCAATATGTTTTGTTCCTGAAAGACATTTCCATCTAACTTAATAATGTCGTCCAATAATAGGCCGGAGCATCGTATCATCGATGTTATAGATTATTATTATTATTATTGTCAGGCAACTCCCACTGCAGACGAGAGAAGTTAGGTAGCCAGGCCAGATTTCTGTACCACCTTTATATCCTGCAGTATTTAGTTATCACTTTATTAATACTTTTAAATAATTAGCACTAAACTTTTTAGGTAGATTAAAGTTGACGCAGAATGTCATAAGCAGGGCTGGTGTGCTGAACAATGATATTTTTATTAAATTGATGGCACCTTTAGCTGATCCCTTCCTGTGATTGGCTGTTGTGCTGAATGTCAACAAAGAATATCTCATTGATTATGCACCCCATACCAATTGTGGGCGGAGCTTGGAACTTCCTACCCGAGCACAACAACCCGCCTTATGGGTTGCTGTTTGGCTATTTATAGTGCGTTGGAAAAATCAGAGATGGCGTTAGTTGTATTTTGAAGGGTAAAATGTTAATAGTGCAATTTGATTCCAACAGATGGCATAAGCTGTATCTTATGGCTACTATTTACCAGGGCTCTTAATAGTGTTCTTTTCTGCCGATAGATGGCAGCAGGTGTATTATTTTTACTTCCGCATTCCCTTTAAACTCTGATCTACAAATCCCGTAGCTTATGACAAGGTTTTACACAATGCTGTTACTAGGTAATTGAAGTTCTGCAATAATTTTTTTATATGTTGTTGAGGATATCATCATATAACGTCTATTTAGGATATGTTGTTCTTTGTTGAGATGTGAACCTTTTCCAAATAAATTAAATATTAGACTGTAATATTATTAAAACAACAAATTGTGCATTAACAGCATTTCATGCTAAAAATACTTGGATATATTGAAATTTGGTTGTGAATTCCAATCCAAGAATCTCCTATGTCGAAACTGAGCTGTGTTCGCCTTAGCAAACTATGCATATATACTAAAGCACACTATACATATAATAATAACTAATAATAAACCATTGTATAGGGGGCAGGTAGCCAGTGTATATATACATGTTAGGCATATACGTAGGTCCCTCCAAGGAGGAACAAGAGTGAGACTGGGAGCTGCCAGGGCCGGCCCGAGGCTTGCTGGCGTCCCCAGCAAGCCTCAACTTCCGCGACCTTACAAACTCACTTTTATTAAATCTTCACAAGGAAGAACAACTGTAAATGTAGGAACAGTTTATTACAACATACAAGCTAAAGAAAACAGTTCGGAAACTAAGAATTTGAAGCTGCCGAAAAAACATTAGAAGGTTGTTTATGGGGAGGGACAGTAGTTTGAACTTGGGGGGGGGGGAGGGAGGGAGGGGGAGGACCTCGATATAAGCTTAATTAACATGTATATATTCACGGGCTGCCTATCCCCAGACGCAATGAATTATTATTATTATATAACTTTTGTATCAAGGTCTCCCCTCCTCCCAAGGTCGAACTATTGACCTTTTCCAGGTTGTAACCCCAAAAGATTTCTTGATTGTTGCCGCCGGAGGTGGATAGTTTATTGTGCACCCCATACTCATCCTGTGAGCGGTAGCGCAAAAAGCATTACAGAGGGCACAAAAGGTCTTTATCAGACCTCATCTTAGACTATTACATAAACGATTTTCATCTATCCTCCACACTTTATAGTTACTATGTCAGCTAGTTACAGAAAAAGTGCTATTTCAAGAGTTATATATTTACAGTCATTATAAATTAATGGTAGGTCTTATCGCTAATACATAATTGTTTGATCAAAGAAGATATTACAGTCGAGGTGGAGATGCAGTTTATTATCAGTCTTCACAATGCTGAGTTTCTTAATCCCATATGTCATTTATCTACTGGGAGCGAAATATGGATACAGCCCAAGGATTTCAGGTATTTTATCCTTGGTAATAAGATAGGTTGCCATATCATACAGCGTGAGCTTAGATTTATCTCTAAATGGCTCAAATTTACAACAATCCATGATATAGTGTTCGGGTATGTGTCCCTGTCTTTGTCCACACACTTTACACTTTACTTCATCTAAATCCCTATACAAGCCGAACTGCCAGAGATATTTTGATATTTCAGATATTTCGAAAATTGCAGGGTGTTTGGGCAAAATATGACCCATTGCCGTTTTCAGTAATTGGCATATTTTCGGTACAAAAAGTCATAATTTGAAAATGAAAATAGGTGCAGAGAGTCAGAATTAAGCTAAAAAATCACGGTCAGGAGTCAAATTTCCGACATTTCAGATATTTTGAAAACTGCAGGGGGGTTTGGGCAAAATATGCCCCATCGCCATTATCAGTATTTGGCATATTTTCGGTATAAAAAGTAGTAATTTGAAAATGAAAATTGATGCAGAGAGTCAGAATTCGACTCAAAAATCATGTTCAGGAGTCAAATTTCCGACATTTCAGATATTTTGAAAACTGCAGGGGGGTTTGGGCAGAATATGCCCCATCGCCGTTATCAGTTATTGGCATATTTTCGGTATAAAAAGTCGTAATTTGAAAATGAAAAGAGGTGCAGAGAGACAGAATTCGGCTCAAAAATCACGCTCAGGAGTCAAATTTCCGATATTTCCGATATTTTGAAAACTGCAGGGGGGTTTGGGCAAAATATGACCCATCGTCGTTTTCAGTAATTGGCACATTTTCGGTATAAAAAGTCGTAATTTGAAAATGAAAATAGGTGCAGAGAGTCAGAATTCTCCTCAATAATCGCCCTTAGGAGTCAAATTTCCGGCATTTCATATATTTTGAAAACTGCAGGGGGGTTTGGGCAAAATATGACCCATCGTCGTTTTCAGTAATTGGCATATTTTCGGTATAAAAAGTCGTAATTTGAAAATGAAAATAGGTGCAGAGAGTCAGAATTCGGCTCAAAAATCAGGCTCTGGAGTCAAATTTCCGACATTTGAGAAATTTTGAAAACTGCAGGGGCGTTTGGGCAAAATATGACCCATCGCCGTTTTCAGTAATTGGCATATTTTCGGTATAAAAGGTCGTAATTTGAAAATGAAAATAGGTGCAAAGAGTCAGAATTTGGCTCAAAAATCACGCTCAGGAGTCAAATTTACTACTTTTCAGATATTTTAAAAAATGCAGGGGGGTTTGGGTAAAATATGACCCATCGCCGTTTTCAGTAATTGGCATATTTTCGGTATGAAAAGTCGTAATTTGAAAATGAAAAGAGGTGCAGAGAGTCAGAATTCGGCTCAAAAATCACGCTCAGGAGTCAAATTTCCGACATTTCAGATATTTTGAAAAGTGCAAGGGGGTTTGGGCAAAATATGTCCCACCGACGTTGTTAGTAATTGGCATATTTTCGGTATAAAAAGACATACCGCATGCATACCGCATGCACCTTCATGTCCCAGAACCCGAAGAACCGAACAAAGCAATTAATAAACACAGCCAGGGACGATAAGATCCACGAGCCGCCACACAGAACCTGAAGAATCACTCTCCAACAAAAAGTGATCAGACCTTCCCGAGACCTCAAATACTAAGCGAACTGCCAGAAGACCTCTCAGATAGCAGTCTCCGTGGTGTAGTGGTAAGACACTCGCCTGGCGTTCCGCGAGCGCTATGTCATGGGTACGTATCCTGGCCGGGGAGGATTTACTGGGCGCAATTCCTTAACTGTAGCCTCTGTTTAACGCAACAGTAAAATGTGTACTTGGATGAAAAAACGATTCTTCGCGGCAGGGGATCGTATTCCAGGGACCATAGGATTAAGGACTTGCCCGAAACGCTACGCGTACTAGTGGCTGTACAAGAATGTAACAACTCTTGTATATATCTAAAAAAAAAAAAAAAAAAAAAAAAAAGACCATCCCGGACCCGATTTATACCTAAAAAAAATGCAACCAATAATAAAAAACTTTTTTGTTCTGCAAGAAGTGCAACTCTATTTATTTATTTATATACAAGATGGTATATTGGGTTTGTGAGAGTATATAGCATTGATGTTTTTACATTCTTGTAAAGCCACTAGTATGCATAGTGTTTCGGGCAAGTCCTTAATCTAACAGTTAATTTTAAGTAGGTAATTTCTAGCATAATTAGTAGCTAGCCTGATGTTGCTTAGATCAGCCTCTTGAAGCCAACACCACCGGCTAAAAGGTTACCAGACACCTCATGCCAACCCATGGTGGACTGGCCACCGAACTTTCACGCCTCCTTTCTCTATATCCAAATTTTCTTCCAGAATTTCACCTCGCCATCTCTCTTCCTTCCCCCTCCTTTCCAAGCCCTTTGCACATCAAATCGGAAATCAGCTAGTGCATATGTATACACGAAAGGGTTTGCGTATATAATATTACAACATTTTCAGTGAGCGAACTATTTTTTTTATGCACGGAACCAACATTATCCAAAACGATTATGTACGAATCAACCAGTCTCCTATACATACATGCTCTCTTTCCGTCTCCCTGTATCAATATTTAGGAATATTTTAAGTTCATTATTTTAATAAGCTTTCTATATGTATTTATTTAACTGTATATGATAATATAAAATGTTACAAATATATATTTTTTGTTAATTCTTCTTCATTGGTTTCCGATAGTGTTTACATAATAAATATTAATTAAAACTATATATTATAGTAAATTTAATACATTTCCTACTATTTTAACTTAAAAGATAAAAAGAAACTCTCTTTACATCCAATTCAATTGGAAAAATTAGCATCAACAGTGAAATATAATTAAACTACGATTTTGTGAAGGATTCCTGAGAACTGAAAGGAAGGGGGTGGGGGAGGCGGCGCCGAGGCGTTTTTGTTGTTGTTGTCTTGGAGGAAGTGTCAGGTGGTGGGGACTGCAGGCACCAGGTTGCTTCACCACTTAGGCACCGGGCTGCAACTCCTCTGGGGACCTGGTTGCAACACAGGGGTGATTTGACATCAACATTCATGAGGATCTAGCTACATCACCCTTGAGAACCTGACTACATTACCTTTGAGAACCTGGCTACATCACCCTTGAGAACCTGGCTACATCACCCTTGAGAACCTGGCTACATTACCTTTGAGAACCTGGCTACATTACCTTTGAGAACCTGGCTACATTACCCTTGAGAACCTGGCTACATTACCCTTGAGAACCTGGCTACGTCACCCTTGAGAACCTGGCCACATTACCCTTGAGAACCTGGCTACGTCACCCTTGAGAACCTGGCTACATTACCCTTGGGGGACCTGGCTACATCACCCTTGAGAACCTGGCTACATTACCCTTGAGGACCTGGCTACATTCCCCTTGAGAACCTGGCTACATTACCCTTGAGAACCTGGCTACATCACCCTTGAGAACCTGGCTACATCACCCTTGAGAACCTGGCTGCGTCACCCTTGAGAACCTGGCTACATTACCCTTGGGGGACCTGGCTACATCACCCTTGAGAACCTTGCTTTGCCAGAAAGACCGGTCTGCTTCATTGGGAATTTAACTGCAACACCACTGGGTACCTAATCATCAACATCGCTAGAGCCTTGGCTGTAACGTAGAGGTGAACAATTGCATGATCACTGGGACCTGGCATCAACTCTGGGTTGACCAGGATCCATTGCTACTGAAGACCTGGTTGCAATATTTTTGACCTGACTGCAATAATGTCAGGTCATACCTTGCATTATTGCCACTGGTGACTAGGCTGCATTACTGCTGAGGCTGAAACACCAGGGTGACCCGGCACCAACACCAGGGTGACCCGGCACCAACACCAGGGTGACCCGGCACCAACACCAGGGTGACCCGGCACCAACACCAGGGTGACCCGGCACCAACACCAGGGTGACCCGGCACCAACACCAGGGTGACCCGGCACCAGCACCAGGGTGACCCGGCACCAGCACCAGGGTGACCCGGCACCAGCACCAGGGTGACCCGGCACCAGCACCAGGGTGACCCGGCACCAGCACCAGGGTGACCCGGCACCAGCACCAGGGTGACCCGGCACCAGCACCAGGGTGACCCGGCACCAGCACCAGGGTGACCCGGCACCTGCACCAGGGTGACCCGGCACCAGCACCAGGGTGACCCAGCACCAGGGTGACCCGGCACCAGCACCAGGGTGACCCGGCACCAGCACCAGGGTGACCCGGCACCAGCACCAGGGTGACCCGGCACCAGCACCAGGGTGACCCGGCACCAACACCAGGGTGACCTGGCACCAGCACCAGGGTAACCTGGCATCAACATCACTGGTGACTGGGCTGAGATAACAGTGTGCCAGCATGGAGTCTCCTGACATGCAAGCCAAGTACCAAAAGCTGGCATCTGAGTACTCCAAGGTGAGTGGAAACCACGCAAGTTGAGAGAGTGATAATCCTGGATAACGATTACGTATTGCATTAGAATTGCACCAATTTAAATGAGATTACTATTCATTTTAACTAGAGGGCAGAGATTAAAACGAAGTCAAATCATGTACAGTACAAATCAGTAAATTACATGTCAAAAAGAACTGGTTTGGTGTTAACTTTAGTTCATTTTGTCTTATATCGAGGATTTCAACACCTTCCCCCACGAGGTTGAACCACTTAAACCTACAGCAGATCCAACTCCAGAACAGATGACTAACTCCTGGGTACCTACTTACTGCTAGGTGAACTGAGCATTAGGTGAAAGGAAACATGTCCAACCATTTCTGTCCTACCCGGGATTCCCAATCGAGAGTCGAGAACGAACCCAACTGTGTTACTGTAGAATAGGTTAAAATCCAATGGTTCTCAGTGGGCGAGTCATGACCCCTTTGGGTTTTTCTTATTACAGTATTATAAAATAAGGCCATTCCCGTAAAAGGAATGGAAACCACTAGGATAGACAAAGAAGTGACTGAAACTAAATCCATACACAATTTTTAATGTAAATATGATAAGTGTGGAAATCGAGTCACTGCATTAAGAATGTGGAAGGTGGTCAGTGTATGACTGCTAATGCATCTGGGTGAGCACATCCAACTAAGCAGGAACTTCCATCTCCTATGTGGATCATAATCTGAAGTGGACACATTCAAAATATTCCACCCAACCACTTTTTCTTTAGAGAGAAAATCTCTTGTTTTTTATTTTTAGCATCATTAGACCTGTTTTGAAAGCTATACAAAGTGCAATGTATAATTTACACTTTGTCTCTTCCTATCTCCTCTGCATTGGTGAGTAAGTTGAGTAAGAGCTACATTTGTTTGCTCCTACTTAAGATAAAACCCTTAAATGGCTCAATTAATTAAGTCCTACATCATGTTATGCATGACAAATAATACATAATCACAAAGCAAATGTTAGAAGGAACATTTGACGATTCAAGCACAGAGGTAATCGAATATCATTCATATCGATTGGAGCTGCTTAGGGGTTAATCAGGATTCACAGAATCAGGCAGAATGACACTTGGGCACTGGTGCTGGAAGTATCTTATTAAACTTGCATGGATATGTCATTTAAGGTGCTAGGGAGTAGTAGAGATAAGCTCAGTTTAGCCCAGTAAGGTCATTAAAGGCACATCAATAACGAATTTAAAATTCTCCTGAATCTTCAGTTCTTGTTGCGATTGACCTCCAAGTGAGGCTTTATGGGGGAAGTAACGGGTATCTAAACTCCAAAAGTATAAAAAAAATGTGTATTGTGGGTGGCTCCACCCCATTTTGGATTCTAGATGCTCTATTCTACTGTACTACAGTACAATACCTGATATTTCTTTGTTTTTTTGTCTGTGTGTTTACATTCATATGTATAGACTTATAGCTGTGTGTGTTTCTTTCATTGTAGCTTGTCAAAATTATGTGTAATTATTAATTTATTGCAGTTACGAGCTCAGAACCAGGTGTTAAAAAAAGCTGTCGTTGATGAGCAAGGAAAAACTGCACATCTTAATGTGAGTATGTGTGTTTGTCGTCCTGTTTCTTCCCGGACACTTATGAAACCACTTCATAATATTCTCACTCAGTATAAAGTACAGGGTACTGTAATGTACATCAAGAATTAATTGTTAATAAACATTTTCTATTAAGAATTTAAGTCTCATCACAGTAGCTAGCCTTACTTCTTCCCACCTTCAAAAGTTGACTATAATTTTGCCGCAAAGAGGAGCCTTTGGCAACACAGTAGGACTATGTTAGCCAAAATACAATACAGTATTGCAGTTTTGATTGATTGATATTTTTTTCAATGAATTGCAAGATAATTCAGGATATTCGAGTGAGACCACCACCTCACAGTTAAACACTGAGAGTGCTATTGTGACTTGTCTAAAAACTTGGTCTGTTGTAACCAAGCATGCTGTACAGTATCCACTTGATTAAACAACCTATATGGGGGGGGTATACTGTAATTGTTAAATCCGGGGAGCTGCCAAACACAGAGGTGCTAAAATGTTGGTAAATTATTAAATCATATTCAGGAGAGCATCAGGTCAGTGACTGTAAATAAGGCTCTGGTTACTGATGTCAAATTCAGCCATTAGAACTGTCGAATGGTAAATCATAGGTCCTTAAATTAAGTGGATATTTCTAATTACTTGTACATTGGTGCAAAACACATGTTGCAGTGAGGTGAAAAAAAAATGTATGAGGTGTATGAAAAAATGCCTGATTTGCAAAATCCATGTCTTTGATTTTGAAAATTATATCAAGATGCATATAAAATAAAAATAATTTTGAGTAAAAAAGAGCACTTAAAAAATTGTCTAATGCATTGGAAGATCAGGCATAACAAATGTCAAAATATCCAAAATCAAAATATCCAAAATCAACAATGAAATTGTCCACTGTTTTGTATACAACAAAACACAATAAGAATGAAGTCAGAATAACAATTTGAAGTTTTTTGAAATGTTGAAGCCTGCAGGCATGTTATAGTTCAATATGAGTTTCTTGTTTGCAGTGAGAGAACATTGCATAAGAACATAAAAATAAGTTAAAGAGAACTGCAGAAAACCTATTGGACCATACTAGGCAGCTTCAATTTATGTCTCCCCAACCATTATATTTTTGACCGGCTCTCTGTTTTTCAGTATGATTTAGTTTTACAAAATCATCTATATTAATACAGTCTGAGGAAATTAAGTAATTTTGTATGGTAATTGTTCGTCTTCATAAAATACCCAATCCAGTGGTTTTTTTATAATATGAGGATTTTTGCATGGATTATTGGATTATCCGCAGTTCTTCTATACTCAAAGTAGCGCGTAAAGCAACCCACTCAGGCTGCGTACCCTATGTTTGATGAAATTTTACTGTTATATTCTTACATCATTGTACATTCTACACATTTTTATATTAAGCATTAATTATTAATGTTCAAATACAGTACATGTTTATCGAGCTGAGTGAACAAATTTAGTTTTCAGAGGTCTTGAGTCTTACCATGTTTCCCTCTGTAAAGTTTCAATTGACCTGATTTTGCTTTACATGTTTTACAAGAACATAACCTTGTCATATCAAGGCTATCTGTACTCAGCATCCTTATGATAAAAAAAATGATATAATCATGAATTATATAGTAGATGAACAGTATTAATCTGATTAACTCAGTATTTTTAATAATGGTCAAAAACAATACAAATGACCAAGCAGTTTTGGTGAATTTAAAATTGTAATTGTTACGAAATCAGTTGAATAAATTTATTTATAAACGCTTTGACTTAACATAGGCATAAACTTGTTGCTTATCATTATTGTCATACAATCATAGACATTACAGGACTGTATATTCCCTCCCCTGTTCCTTCCTCCATCACATGGCAGTGACCTTGCTACCATATTATCCACAGTTTACATCATGTGCGTAAATGTATTAATGCTATTTCATCATAAAGAACAACCATACAAGAAATACAGATTTTATTAACCCAGAAATGGGATCTATTTAAAAGTATTATTACACTGAGGCATGCATGACTAAAAATAGTTTACAAATCAAATAGGAAAAATTGCCTATGTCAACTAGAACAAAATGTTAGTGAGAGGAATGGCATGGTAAGTAAACACTATAAAGTTAAACCATGTGTAAGAATGAGGAAGTAGTGGTGGTAATGGCTGGCTAGTTCCCCTCCTATACCACTGATCAGCCGCCTAAATAATCAACTACATCACCCTTTCCAAGTAGCTGGTTGGTCTTGTTGCCGACAAGCAAAAATGCAACTGCATATTTGTGTTTAAGATTGTTCCACTGCACAAACTTATTCATACCATTTTGTATTATATTGTAAATAAAAAGTAATACTATAGAAGAAATGGCTTATTTATATGAGGATCCCTCATTACTAAAAGTAATGAGGCCTTCAGCAGAATGATAGTAATTTGGTGTAATAAACCATTTTCTTCATTCATAAGTTTTTGGGAAGGGGAAGATGATGTTTTTCTATAATCCATTTGCTGTTCATTATTCAGAAAAACGTCCTAGAGGGTGGATTTCAATGTCGTTGACAATTCAAGTTTTGTTTCTCAGGATTTGATAAAGTCTCGAGACCAGATGCTAAGGAAGGCAGAACAGGAAAATGATTCTCTTGCATTCAGAAACCAGCAGTTGACGAAGAGACTCACACTTCTACAGGAAGATCTTGACGAGATTCAGGTTTGTAGCTTTTGAGTTAAAGAAGAGTACAAACTTAAAATTTATACATTTCTTATTACGTAATTTTACCTACCAGTTTTCTCCTCTAATATGTGAATCAATTAATCTGTTAAAAGTGCATCATGTTAGTCAAAATTAAAGCACCAAAATATTTACATTTTCTATTCATCGGCCTCGATAGCTTTGGTAGTTTGCTTGAGTTCGTTCATTTCTGATTGGACAAACCAGTTGCAAAAAATTTAGTATTTTACTTTTATGTTTTAGACCTCAAAGGTGGATGTTGGCTAAGCTTGAAAAGCAAGTTAAATTGGTTTGCCTTTGTAGACACAATTTTACTTAAAGATTGTTCTTCACTATCACATGCAGAATGCTTAGTTCATTGCATGCATTTTCTGGTGATATTTGGAGCTTCTCAAGTGCTTCTTGGCCAATAGTCACAGTCTGCTCACTATGTCGGGGACTTACTAGTAAAAGTAATGTCATTCACTGATCCCACTCCTTGTAACTTTCATCTGATTCCTAAATGAATTCCTATAATAAATCCTTGTTTTCAGCTATTAACCCTTGAACTGCTCAGTTATTTAAAAGTACTACATTATGGTGCACATGACAAAAAATAGTTAACAAATTAAGATGGAAAAAAATTGCATATGAATTGTACACAAGGTAATACAAGTGACGATTGGAGCAGTGTAAGGGTTAATTGTTTTTCTGACGATTTTTGTTTGGTCGTTTAGATGTTTTAATTCTACAATTCCACCTCTTGTAGTCTTAAATACTACAGATTAATAGTGAATGTGTATTAATTGTGAGGACACAGTATCAACTAAACTGTTTACTGTACTGTAACTGTAAACCTGATTTACTATTTTGTATTCATTGTTTACAGTCCAAATCCAAGAGAGGCAAAGTGAAAACCGAGAGTGTGGGTGATGGTGCTCTTGCGGACAACACTGTCTTTACTGAGGAGCTTCAGGTTAGTGTTGATTGAACAAGTTACTGTACCTTGATTTTGGGATACAAGTACTGTTAAGTTTTATAGTAAGTACAGTATGTAATTTTGCAGTGATTTAATTTGGTGATATTGATGGATTTTTGTTCAGTTGAGTGTTGAGCTAGGGAAGGAAAGTGGCTGGTGCAGTGAAAGCCCAGGTTATGAAGAATACCGGTAATATAATAAGTGGCGGCTAGATGGTTGCATGATGGAGCGGTGGTGCCGGCACCACCACCAGTAGCTTATAAAATCAAGAGTTAAAGGTGTTAGGAGGAAAGATAGAGCAAGGAATTATTGTTTTATAGAAAGACAAGTGCAAGAATCTGTAAACTGTAAGATTAAAGAAAATTTATAAAGACAGTTTGTTCATGTTGAATGAATGGTTAATGATGACTTGTTAGATTATTGTATATGAGTGAATTTGAAGGTAATAGGAGAGGAAAGCAGTGCATGATTAGCAGTCGTATAGAAAAGAAACAGTAGTGTTATACCAAATGATCTGTATTGTTGGTTCACAACCAAAGTTCCTGGGTTCAATTCCCACAGTAGGACAGAGACAATTTCCTTTCATCTGATGCGTCTGTGTACAGAGACGTAAATAACTACCCACGAGTTAGACGATTTTGGTGTTCGGATTTCAGCTGTTCAGTCATACCTGATATTTAATGTTTTATACATTTTCTTTGCATGTAGTCCAAGATTCAAGAGAATGCTAGATTACAGTCTGAACTAGCAGAAATTGAAACGACATATCGTAGTCGTTTATCAGAACTTGACACACAGTTGGAAGTCGCTAAAAGAGAAGGACAAAAATATAGAGAGATGCTGGAGCTTCGAGAAAAATCTGCAAATGTAAGTTTTATCTCGGAAGGTTTAATTGTGATGCTTATGTAGAATTTGTTCAGTATTTGTTAAACATTGTTGTCAGTAATTTTAGGCATGGCTCTAACATGTAAAATTACAATTTTACATGTTGGAGCCATGTTGAAAGATTTAACATGGCTCCAACAAAGATTTAACCACATGCTGAAAACATCCAAGAATAGTCCTTGCTTTAAGTTACCTCCACTAGATGAGCTTGCATCAGATTTTTAGAACATCATGAATTAAACAGTACAGTGGCACCTCGATTAATGAGTGGCTCTATCTACGAGCATTTCGAGTAATGAGCGAGCCACTTGCAGAACATTTCTCTATTAACGAGCTTTTCCTCGATTAACGAGCGTTTCTGCTGGTTCTCGGACACTTTTTACGACAGTTTTGTTGTTTTGTTGTTGTTTTACGACACGACGTCTTGAGTTTTCCACATGATGACCTCGGTGCCAGAACGGATTAAACTCGTTAATCGAGGTGCCACTGTATATGATAATACGAATATAATGTACAATACTAGTACTGTGTTTTTTTATAGATGTAGTGGGAACATGTACTGTAATTAAAAAAATCAATCGATGGTAGTGGATGAAAGTGAATGAATTAAATCTTACTGTCTTGTAGTCATAATATTTTATGTTGTTATTCACGATCCTGCTGTATTGACCAGGAAATCGTGGATCAGCTGGAAAGTGAACGAGTGCAACAAGAGGTAACTGGCCAGCAGCGGGAGGCTGAGCTACGGGCACTGAAGGAACAGATTGGCCGGCTTCAAGATAAACTTGCCCAATCTGCCACCATCAGTAATTGTTATCCAACACAACCAGACAACCAAGATGCCCAGGTCTCTCCTCACCACACTGTTGGCAAGCGTACGTTGCTTCTGTGATAACAGACGTACTACAGTTTGTTGTATTTAGGAGAATTGGGGGTCACTGTACTAAGCACTGATGGTCAAACTTAACCCCTTAAGTTTGGGGCTAAAACTTTGGGGACCGGGCTAAAACAATGCATTGTGTGCTATGTGCAATAAAAAAAAAACTGAAGAAATTCTTCTTTCTTCTGATATTGTTAATTAGCATCAAAGAAGCATGAAATTCTCTGTACAATGCCCCTACCAATCATGATTTAATTAGTGACCCGGTGAAGTTGTGTGGACTCTGTAGCTGGGTGTTGAGGTGTCTGGCTTGGGTCGCTAGGTGGTGAGTGACAAGGTAGGGTGCCACACGACAGTAATTCCTTACATTTTTCATTGTGTCTCACTATTTGCTTAATTTTCCCCTGTTCACATGTAGTATTAATGTGGCAATATGGGTATTCATTATATATAACTTTGGAAATATGCGTATGTACAGATATATGTTTGCTATGTAAATATACACATCCTGTATTTATTCAAACCAATATTTATGTGAGTAAATCTTACAGGTGCACATAGTACACATTTTATATGCAAATATGTACTGTACATGGATACTGTAGCACTGATTTACTGATTTAAAAGTTTTGGAGAGTGTTATTGGCAGTCAAAGTTAAGGTGCAGTTCACATCACTCTTGTTGCTCCAAGTGCCATCAGCAGTATATGTTTCTGACCCCTAATCTCTCTTACTCTTGCACACCAAGTATTGCATTTGTGTCCTTGCTCACTCTGCAACAGGTGGTATTTAGTAGTGTGTCACAGAAATACTCTTGTCCAAAGACTGCCAGGTTAACACAATGCATAGTACTAGCTGGCATACTTGCCCCACAGACACATATACTCACTAAACCACAAACAGCAGTTCCCAATATTAGTATTTTCATCACATTTTGTAGCGTGCGAAAGCAAATTGGTTTCAATTAACTGCATGATTTTTTTTCTCGCTACAACTATTGACAAAGGTATAGCTCTGTTTTATGTCATGATCACTAACATATAGTCACAACTGGCATGATTAGCTAGTAACAGGATTACTATAAATAGAAGCTGCTTCGCATGGGCCAATAGGCCTTCTACTGTTTCCCCTTATTCTTATGTTTTTATTTTTGTACATTATCATTACATTTGAACAGAATTGTACATTGTTGCAACAAAAATTCTCCAGTTGGCAACTGGAAGTGTACATGTCGTCAGTGCACCATCGCATCAGTACCACACACGTGACCTCACTCCACAGCCTCTCTTCTCATGCTGTTAGAGCAGCTTATTTCATATTCTGAAAGATAATCTTCACGTTAACTACAGTGTTTGTTACATATTCCTTGTCATCACCAAGAATGTCCAGGACTGTCAAAGTCCTAGCAATGTTGCATAACATTGGTGGTCCATATCCTGGCCAGATTGGCTGCCCTGCAAGTTCAGTTGCTGGTTGGTGGTGCACCAGACATGGTGTGCTGCTTTTTACAAAGACCATGGAAGGAAACTAAGGGATTCAGGATATTTTCCATTTTAGCAAATGACTGACAGAGGTCTCTCTGTTGAGTGATGTTCCCCCTAGAATTGGCAGGACTTTTGAAACAAAAAGTGGTGATCCTTGAATCATGCCTAGACAATTGGAACATACGGACCAATTGCTCTCAGGCGATTGGAGCAGTATAAGGGTTAAGTTTATTGATTTTGAATATACTGTATATATGCCCAAATAGTCTGTGAATTAGTGGCTTTATATAATATACATTGTTTATCTAGGAATATACTCCGCTGTTTCATGTCTAATGTGTACGTGTTATATAAATAAGATTAATAATAATTATCATTATTTATTATTATTATTGATATTATTGTTAGTGTAGTATATAAAATGCAGTACATCAGTACTATTTATTATTTATAATTATAATTGATATTATTGTAAAGGTACATATAAAGAGATTTTACAAAGTTTGTTGGCTTTATAGTAGAGCTATATAAATGCTAAAGTACAAATCAGATATTAGCTATATTATTTATTATTTAGCAAATGCATTTATAATAAAGGGTTAATGCTAAATCTAATTACAAAAATAAGGTATAATACTATTAAAATAGTAGACTATAATTAAAAGAAGCAGTAAAATTGAAAGTGTAGATGTATATATGCATGATATCTTCAGCGGTGGCATCCAGCAACCTGGACATCCCAGTACAAAATGGACGAGACAGATCTCCCAGCTTCACTGCCAGGAGCTTGGTGGACTCGTTTGATAATCTGATTCAAGAAATGTCAAAATCTTTTGCCAAGTTTCTGTGTAGTTACGGCACGAGAGTCAAGCTTTACGAATATTCTTCGGAGATCCAAGAGAAAGTGAGTGTTACAAAGTCTCTGTTGTAAAATACTGTTGATGACTTGATTATTTTTAATTTATTAATGGTCCTTCAGCATCTATTAGTGGTGTGGACATAACGTATCACATTTCTGCGTCAAATAAGTTATTTTTAAGAGTTATGGAAATCTAGGTTTGCATGCTTCATATTGGTTTCTTGCACGTGTATTATTAAATAATTAGTGCTCCCTGAAATTTGAATCATGTGGCAGATTAGTTCCATGGTAGTGCATTAGGTCTCTAATATCTCTATTAAAAATCTTTCCTTTATAATGAACTTAAACACACAAGTTAATCAGGTAGGGATGCAGGCAATCAAGTTCATCTAGCAGTAAATAAGTTCCTTGGAGTTTGGCAACTGTTATGGGTTGCATCCTGGGTCAGGTCAGTAGTTCGACCTTGGGGATACCTCAACAGTGGGAAACTTTTCATGAGGCTTGCCACTACTACTACTACTTCATGCAACTGCCTGGTTATATCTATGTCTATCTTTTTTTTTTTTTTTTAACTTTGAATTTCATTGTATGAACCACTTTTCTTCCCTGGCTCAACTTCATCTTTAAATTGCACTTCTTTCTGGTGTTAAATAAGCTTTACACCTGAATCCTTCAGCTATTTATGGAGAAGAATTCTTGTAGCCCCTTCCATTCTAGTGCTTTTTTGCTCACTTGAGCTACGTGATACACAGCATATAAATTGTTAGGGATATGATATTCAACAAATATCTTGTTTCTTTTCAGCTAATAGAGCATTTAAAGTCAGCAGCTTCCTCATGGCATTCCTTAGCATCATCTTACCACCAGCTGGCAGAGAATACCTCAGGAGAAGGTTTTGTTACCCTAGAAACCTTGAGTGGTCTTATGCAAGTGAGTCGTCACGTTACGGCATGTGGTGCCAGCTTGCGAAAAGTTTTGCCACTTGTGGTGCATTGGTAAGCCAGGAATTAAGGGTATTTAATATTAATATTTATTTATACAGTTAATCCTATTTTTTATATACACCATGAAGATTGATTTGAATGGTATTTTGGTACAGTATAATTATATTTTAATGTATGTACATTATTTATATTTTGTGTTATAATCAGCCTTATTATACTATATTCTATCATTCTGTATCTTTGAAGTAGTATTCTTGATATTTACCACAGATAAATGATCAATGGGCTAAAATGTTTAATTTAATATATGACTTAATTAACACAAGATAAAAATTACTTTAGCACCTATGCATTGTTAGTTTACCCAGTAAATATATGATAGCAACTGAGGGTATCTCTAAAATGAAGAGGGTTGAAACCTTTTTAGTCACAATGATTCAGACTAAAAGGATATAGCTTGGAAACTATTATCTGTAAAAACACATCTTTCCCGTGTATACTTAGGGTGTCAGAAGGCAGCAGAGGACAAGTTGACGGAGACCGTGTAGGAGCAGCGTGGAGTGCGGCATTCAACAGGCTGGTGTCTTCTTGGGGCTCCTTGGCTCCCTATGTCGCAACACTTGCCAGTCAGAGTGAGTTTCTTTTTAAGATGATTTATTTTGAATTGTCGCATAAAATATTAATTGTGCAGATCACTATGTAGGTGTTGGAGTTTTCTTTGGATCAAATAGTTAATAGATGTCGCACTGACCTCAGGTGTTTAAACTTAAATAATTGTCTTGGCTTCAACCTGAATCAATCACCACCATCTATTATTATTATTATTATTATTTAGGGTTATGAGAGGTGACTTGAAATTTAATTATCTTTATCCCCAGTTTATAAGTTGTCAAGTTTAAAGTTTTGCTGCTTATGAAAGAAAATTAAAAGTTAACACATAATTATGAAATGATTTCAATTCAGGCTCACCAAACTCCAATCTACCCCCGAGTGCCCAGGGACGTGTTATAACTATGCTCAGTGACCGTCTTAATAATCTTCACGCTGCCTTAAGAGGTGGGTGACACCCTTACATGTATGATACATTGGCCTGTACATATACATATCTCTTGTCTACCGAATGTGTCTATCATTTATTTGACATTTTTATTTTTCACGAACAAATAGGTAATATTCTGCCATGACTGTCCTGTCAACGAAGTTAATTATATACAGTATATGGATCCTGTCATGACGTATTTATGTCGTCGACTTCATAAAGAATCGTGGGTTCGATCCCAAGGCAGGACAGATATTGTTGGGTATATTTTCATCCATCTGATGCCTCTGTTCACTTAGTAGTAAATAGGTACCCGGGAGTTAGATAACTGTTGTGGGTTGCATCCTGAGGAAGGTCAACAGTTGGCCCATGGGGGCCTCGATGAGCCTAAGTTGAGGCTTCCTGTCCCCCGATAACAGAAATTATTAGTATAGTTTAAATAACTTGGCCATTATCTTGCACCCTCAGGCCTAAAAGCTTCTAATAATGTGACTACTGTATACACATATATTTTCACCCCACAACTTTATTTGAACTAATTCTTATATCTGTTACCCAGTACATAATTTGTAAGTGGGTTCTGTTTATTACCACATTAATTTACGGTTTGATGTATAATACAGTACCTGTTGGTTCATTTGTATCGATGTTAATGTGTTCTCCATGTGTAAACATTCTCTGCTTAATATTTTAGGAAGCCATCTTTATTGCAGTTTTCTGGAATGTCTGGTACTTTCAAATATCTCACTCTTTGTTTTTATATCCCTTAGCATAATAATCTTCTTTATTCAAAGCTTCTAACATACCAATATACGTAATGGAACTGTGTTGTCTCCTTTTTTATTAATCTTATGATTATTGTAAAGATTAGTATAACTGCACACACAAATGCAAACTTTTTATATTAAATCTTTATAATTCTTGAACTTATATATCTACTTTGTATATATATGTATATACAGTATCATGCAATTCCACTGTCTTGGTGATAAGACAGTCAATCGGAGCTCCAAAGTGACTGCTTTGCAAAGAAAATGTTGTGTCCCTAATGAAATTGGTAGAATGTTTGGCCCAAGTAAAATAAGTCGGGGTGTCAATGACTCAAGCTCCACACCAGTGACTGCGATTTCCTGCTGACAGCACAGCACTAGAGAGAGCCAATGGTTTCCCATTGTTGGGGACTGGAAGCCTGAGAGGTTTATCGTGGTCCCTAGACCAGTGACTGACCTTTCCCAAGATACACAACACAATACACATTTCCCACAACAGTTGACTAACTCCCAGGAACCTATGTACTGCTAGGTAAACAAAGGTATCAGGTATAAGGAAAATGGCCTGAATGTTTTGCACTGTCTGGGAATGAAACTCGGGTCTAAATGGTCATAGGCAGACTTTTAAGAAAAGTGCTGTGCTACATGAAAAGTGAAATGAGACATGTGCCGTCTATTCTGATATTGTATTCAGTCTGGAAATGTTATACAGTATAGTATAATCATGCAGCCCTTTTTGTTTGCACATTTTATTCAGTCTTGAAATGCATAATCATACTATGAATCTGTGTTTGATAATGCTGAGTGTAACTTTGCTACAGAGGCATCCATCACGTACCAAAGGAAGGCTGCAAATGAAAAAGATCTGCCGTCTTCATCAGGAGAAGCAAAGGCTGCCAATGATGAGATTGTTAGTGTTCTCACAGAACTCTCTTCCACATCTAATAAGGTTAGTTCACATCATCTTGATGCTTTTTGTGTTTGTACATTCTGTATTTAAAATCATATCATATAGTATATTAATCTACTCTATTAATCTAATCTACATGTCGAAGTTTTCGAAGTTGCTGTAATTTGTTTCCCTCCTACATTGATACATCATCATTACCCCCATTTTCTACTGTCATGGGAAAGGAAGTGAGTTAATGATCATTAAAACTTCTCAAAATGTTAGTAAGCAAAATTATTTAGTGAGATTATTTTAATGTTTGTTTAATCAATTCCTAATGACTTAAGACAATGTTTATATTATTTAAGAGGCTAAGTGTGTAGTTTATTATGCTTTATTTTTTTCATTATGTAGAATAATTGTACTCGGGATAACATTTTATTACAAGACAGTATAGATTAGTCTCATATTTTTCAAGCATTTTATAATCAAAATACCACAAGGGCTGTTTACAATAACCAAGATAAATTTACATGATCTCACACAAATATAATTGAATTACTGTACATTCTTCCAATTCTAGAGCAGCATTGAATATGCTTTTTGCCTTATGAAGATATTACAAAAAAATCATTAACAGTATTTTTTACCAACTTATAAAAATTTACATTAATTACCAAATGATTGGTGAGCATATTACAATAGCGTTTATTTCTTCACCACTTTGTGTTCTTACAGATGGCGACTATGTTCAGAGAGCAAGTTGTTCCCTACTGGAATAGGAGTGGGTCAACCCCAAGCACTCCTTCTTCACTGTACCCAAGCATGCCTTACAGCCTGAATAAATCTCTCAGTAGCTCTGTACCCATTCCTCATGTAAGTTGTATACAGCATTTATTAGTAAAATTCATCGTAATGCTGCTAAAGAATAAGTTTGGACATCTATTAATTTACTGGAGGATAACATTGTCATTGATGAACTTTATAGATTATATTGTTGGTGGCTTGCTTCAGTGGGCTTATACCTTATGTAGAGTCTGAAGTAAACTATAACCGTTCTCTTTTCTGGGGGGGAGCCCCGTCGGCTCCCCGGAGCTATCCAGGCTGAATGGATATGTATAACTTTCTGGCATCAGTCAATGTGCATGGAGTTCATGCCTACCGGGGACCATGAGGCAGAACCTGGCCCCCTCAACAGAGGCACGAGGAGCAATGGCCCATAGAAACCCCCGTGTGGTTGGGATCCTCTCTCACACTCGTTCCTTTTATTTTTTTACACATAGTAACAGGAACAGATAATTCCTGATTCCTCTTAGCAGGCTGAGAGCTTTTCCTTCCCACAGTTCATGGTAAGCCTTACCTACTAGTTTCCCTGGAATACGACCTGCCAATTGTTTAACAATCAGGTACCCAATCACTACTGGGTGAACAGAGGAGTACAGTTAAGGATTGGCGTCTAGTCAATCCTTCCCGGCCAGGATATAAACCTAGGCCAAATTGTTCACGAAGTGCGGGGCGAGTGTGTTTCCACTTCGCCACCAGGGACTGCCTTTTAGGTTAGTGTGGCTGAGGACTGCATCTAGCTGTATATTTAATGGTTGACGATTTAGGGAATTCTACTAAAGCAACCTTAATCTGTGGCCAGCCTTCCCTGGTGATTACCTGGTCTATGAGGCTGTTCCTTTTTAGCCCAAATATTAAGGAAAGATATCATTCATTGGTATTATTTGTAACACCTGGAAACTTAAATTATAGGTTAGTCACAGCAAAGTGAACAACTGAATATATTGTATTGTATTATTTTACTTGTCAGTAACACTGACCTATAATTACCCAAGTGTAATTACCTAAGTGTTGTTACTGGATGAGAGTTATGCTCGTGGTGTCCTGTCTTCCCAGTACTCATTGTCATATAATGCTTTGAAACTACTGATGGTTCTGGCCTCCACCACCTTTTCACTTAGCTTGTTCCAATTGTCTACCACTCTGCTTGCAAAAGACTTTCTAATATTTTTGAGCACCTTTGTTTCCTTAGCTTGAATCTGTGTCCTCTTTGTGAAGTTCCTGGTTACTGTGTTATACTGTACATGTTTCCCCCTGAAACTAATAAAATCTGTTAAAATTTACCAGGAATAATTTTATAATTCAGGATGAAAGCCATCCAACACTTTGTGACGGCACACTAACCAGCCCTGGAGAGAGCACGATGTTGGGAGACAGCGAAGCCTCTCTTATGAAGCAGCTGGCTGTTGCATCCTCTAAATTAAGTCAGCTTGAAGCAGAGAGAGAACACTGGAGATTGGAGCACCAGCTTCTACAGTGTAAACATCAAAAGGAAGCAAAGGTTTGCAGCAGCAGCTATTGTTGTTACCATCATTTTGTTACCCAGTTAATTTTTAGACTTTGTTTTTCTAATTATTTACGCTGCAAGGTTTCTATTTATAAAATTTGTATACATTGAAGAGCCCAGTTGTTGGCCACCAGTAAGCGTATTTACATAGATGTCAGATATGGTACTGTATTGCTATGCCAGAATATATATATTGCTCTTGTAGCGTGTTCGGCAATTGGAGAATCAGCTGAAAGGAGAGTTTACGTCTATTGAGGAAAGTGACTACTTGTACTCCAAGGACCATTCTGCTTCAGGTGCCTCGACTACATCAATAGTAAGTTCACCTCATACCAGTGGCATACCAGTTATATTTTGTTACTTGACACATTAAGGGTTAATTGTGATACAACTGGGCAACATATAATTATGCAATATATGGACCAAAAACAAATTCATACTTAGTTTAAATACTGTATGTACAGTAGACTCTGGTACTAAATATGTACCAGGTTACTCCCAGATTGCCACAGAAGTAACCTTGTAAACGGTGAAATTCGTTGGGTAAACGGTGGGGGGTAACGGGCGTACATGGCTGGAGTAATTGGGTAAATGTTGGGAATAACCAGGTAAACTACAAGAGTTTGCATGTTGATATATGGATTATGTCGGTTGTGGTTAAAAAAAAATTGCAAATTTGTTAATTTTTGGACATTCCTGGTTAGAAATTCTGCTTGGTCAATGTTCAGTTAACTTGAATGAGGATGGGGTCCCATGTGATTTGTATTAGTGAGCTTAAAAGGAATAGTACAGTACAAGTACTGTATTTACAGAGCAGAATCATAGTTTTATTCTCATATGATAGCCACAATGAGAAGTAATCTCAAGTCGTCCTTCCCACAGCCCAGCCCAGAATATTACATCGAGATTATTTATACTAAAAAAAAAAAGCCATATTTATTTTGCTCAGGCTTTTGTTCCTAGCATTTCAGCAGATAGAACTGTAGTCCCGGTGCTCTAATAATTCTTGAAGTATTGCTGATAGCTGTATTTTATGTATTTTATTTCATAGCTCCTATTTTTTTTTTTTTTAAGAAATAGGCTATTGCACTCCTCTAAATTACGTTGGAATCCAGCACCGCAAATATGGTAGTTATCAAATATTTTTGCACTTAAAGTATCAAAATTTTTGTATATTAATAAACCTTCTAATACACTATATTCTCTATCTTCATTTTTTTTTTTTTTTATTGCAGGTGGGTGAGGTGTACGGTGCTGACGGGGCTTCAGATGAGAGAGAAAAGGACATTCGGAATCATTTTACAAGCCGCTGCTCTCACCTGTACATGCAGCTCACATCGGCAACAAGCCAAGCTGTTCTTTATCAGAATGAGGCGAGTTGTCAGGTCATCTAATGACCTAGATCCTTTGGTTTTTGAGCATATGGGGTTAAGCTACAATGCAACTTTCCCAATATTCTCTTTTGAGAACACATGCAAATGTATTGATTTTTTTGTTGTGTATATTCAGTATAGTTTACTTGTATATATACTGCATATACAGTACTGTATTAGTATATTTTGGGAGAAGGTTTTTTCTAATATACATGTTATTAAACACAACTACTTTGTGACTTTTTTTAATTTTCTTATGAATATTTTCCATTCTACCATTTGGAGGGTGAAGAAACACTAGATAACTTAATCTTTCCATATTATTGTTTGACATTTTGTCAGCAGTGTGACATCTTCAGAACTACACTCTATGCACAACAGACACAGGTATACCGAGCTTACATGGAGAAATCTAGACATTTATAAGTGTGGATTCACCTCACTTTACAATTAACCTAACCTCTTTAATCATAGAGAGTGCTGAAGGATAGTTTTTGGAGCTGACACCAATAATCAACTTAAAGATGAATTCGACTTCAAGCATACAGCTGTTTGACAATCCTCCATTAATCCAGCGGGAAGATGGTAGACTTAGCAGACAACTAGAAGCTGGAGTCTGACATCAATCACCTCACCCTATTCTTCAGCACTCCCTATGATTAAGGAGATTACATGAATCAAAGAGTGAGGTGCAACCATTTATTTACCTCTTGGATAGTCCCATTAACTTTTGGGGGGGTCAATATTGACCACTTTGGAAATCCTTGTCCCTAGGCCAACTTCTGTACTGACCTTCCCCAGGATGCAACCCACAACAGTTGCCTAACTCCTGGGTACTATTTACTGCTAGGTGAACAGAGGACACTGGGTAAAAAGGAACATTACTCAAATGCTTCTGTCAAACCATTAGGATTGAACCTGGTACCTTTCAGCTGGGACTGGGACCCAGTTGCACTTGCTACTGCACCACAGAACTTATCCTTATTAAAACACGAGCCATTTTATATCAACAGAATTGTATGAAGGAAAGGTATTTTATTTGCACAATAATACTTATTAAAGATATTGTATGTGAAATTACAGTGCGAGTCATTGATGAGACGTTTGGTTGTGAGTGAAGAGAAACGATCCAGTTGTGACCAGGAGATTGACAACCAGAGGGAGACTGTCAATCAGCTAAAAGAAACACTGCAGACCACATCTCGGTATGAATGCTGTCCAGTTTCTCATAAAATAATAATTTGTTTAACATTTTATATGTTACATCTGAAAAAAAATTATTATTTCGTCTCCTTTGTCCAACTACTTGGGCTGGACAGTAGAGCGACGGTCTCCCTTCAGGCAGGTTGGCGTTCAATTCCCGACTGTCCAAGTGGTTGGGCACCATTCCTTCCCCCCGTCCCATCCCAAATCCTTATCCTGATTCCTTCCAAGTGCTATATAGTCATAATGGCTTGGCACTTTCCCCTGATAATTCCCTCCCTCCCCTCCTGTAAACTTGAATATTTTATCCTGTTATAAATAGGTATTATTGTATTTGAGTTTCTATATATGGGAATGCCATATTTTCTGCCACTTTGTTTCTAAACTATATAATGCTTTTGTACCCTATATTAGATACAGGGGTGTACAAAAGCTATATATAGTTTGGAAATATTAGATACAGGGGTGTACAAAAGCTATATATAGTTTGGAAATATTAGATGCAAGGGGTGTACAAAAGCTATATATAGTTTGAAAGCATTAAATGCAGGGGTTATCTTGAGATGATTTCGGGGCTTAGTGTCCCAGGAGTCTGACAGCTGAGTGGACAGCGCTTCGGATTCGTAGTCCTGAGGTTCCGGGTTTGATCCCTGGTGGAGGTGGAAACAAATGGGCAGAGTTTCTTTCACCCTGATGCCCCTGTTACCTAGCAGTAAATAGGTACCTGGGAGTTAGACAGCTGCTATGGGCTACTTCCTGGGGGTGTGTAACAAAAAATGAGGCCTGGTCGAGGACCGGGCCACAGAGATGCTAAGACCCAAAATCATCTCAAGATAACCTCTCAAGATAACCCCTGCATCTAATGTTTCCAAACTATATACTGTATCACTTTTGTACACCCCTGAATCTAATATAGGGTTCATTTCTTCATCTGTAGCTGCCGCCGCCTTTTGGTTTGCACTCTTGCTAGCAGTGGCATTCACAGTGAAGGCTGGACGCTCTTAAAACTAGATGAGAAAATATTTTACACACACGAAACTCCAAGTACAGTGTAAATCTATTATCCAACATGCAGATCAGCTCAGAAAATACGATTACAGACTCTTCATTGGAAGAGAAATTAATTGACTTACAGGTCATTATTTGGTAGCTAACACATTGGCATTATGACTTGTAGGTCATTACTTTGCAGCTAACTGATTAGCATTAGATGAATTCAAGCACTCTTTCTGACTTACCTCATGTATTGCTTATTTCAGAAACTACGAGGAACAGATATCTACAATGTCTGAACATTTAGCTGATCTGAATGAAAAAATAACAGCTCAATCCGAGTTAATTGAACATCTGAAATACGAAGTCAAAGTAAGTTCATTATATATTTAGTTAGATTTGCCATTTCTCCTAAAACTATCTTTATACTTTATTTCATCCCATATTTCATTTTTAATAATTTGACAAAATTATATATACTGTACAAGAGTCTGAAAATTAAATACAGTACATAACCATATCTCAAGAAAATTGTTGACAAAATATTACAAAAAATTGGTTCTGTATTAAATTTTACGAATAAAAGGCTGCATGTAATTGATAAAGATTCTAGTCTTTCCATAAAATATATTTTGTAGAGAAAAACACCATGGGAAAATGGGTACAATAGAAAATACGAACAAGACATTTATTGTTGATGTTTTTGTCCTGTTCGCATGAGATTTCTCGAATTTGAAGAACCTGTCATGTAGAGGTTAAAACTCAATTTGTGTTAACTCTTAAAATCTACTATTAATTGATCCGGTAAAAGTTAGATAATTTCGTTTACACTCTGTCCATGTTAGATACAGTATTGGGTCAGTTCAAACAGTTTGTATATTTGTAACTAAAGACATGTTTAAAGGGAACCTGTAGGGTCCAGTGATGGAAATGAGGCATACAGGCATGCACAGTATATACCGTCATCTCAATTTCCAGGGTATTTTTCATGTTCAGTTTTTTTTTACTAATAGACATTTATTATCTACTGTTAAGTTTCACCTGATAAAAGTACTCTTTTTATTTGTTATAATTATGGATGGGAATTAACACCTAATAATCGGTGTTAATTACGAATTAACGCCTTGTAATCCCAGAGCAAAATCTTGGATACAGCCTTAGTATATATAGTACAGTACTTAGTTCCCCAAAACTCATTTCCATCACTTGTGCAGTCGCAGCACAATCATATAGTCTCGGTTTCGATTCCTGGTCTGGATGAGATGTTTGGGTTTGTTCCCTTACACCTGATGGCTCTGTTTACCTACCAGTAAATAGGTACCCAGGAGGTAGGCAACTGTTGTGGGTTGCACCCTGGGAAAGATCGGTCATTGGCTTTAAGTTCCTTGCTAAACCTAATTAACTTCATGTTTACAACAATGGCAGATTATTTGGTAAAAGGTTAATTCCATTTTATTTTTAGTTCTCGACCAACTCTAATAAATCTCCAATAAATGTTTACATTTTTATAAATAATTCTTCCTAAATTTTGGTGATTCTTGCTTAAATTTCTTTTCTTTTCAGAATAAGAAAGGAAAGAAGTGAATGAAGTGCAAAGAAATTTGCAGTAGGAAATTTCTTCAGAATTTCAAGGTAGTGAATAAATTTTACTAAATAGTTTTGAAATACTGTCAATGATAAATTTTACTTATTAATTTTAAAATAATGAATTCATTTAAACATTTACTCATTAATTTTAATATAAAGAGTAAATTTGTTGTGACAAATTTTGAGGTGATAAATCAATTTCTGGAAAAGTTGGTATCTTTCACACTAATTGATATGCACAAAATATTTCCTTGCCACTTTCAAAACATACTTCAGAAGACCATACTCATGATGAAGGATAGATAGATAATAGTTCATTCCATCTAATGCAGTGACATGTACACAATGAAAATGTGTTTGCTGTGTTGGACCTGCATCCAAAATGGTGCCTGATGTTTGTTGTTGTTTAAGATTCGCTACCTGGAACAAAAAGTTCCAAGTAGCACGGGCTATGGTGAGCCCGCAGTTGTGCCTGATACTATGGCAGGGTTAATCATCTCGCAGACACATTTGATTTGTTTTATAGTTACTGAAAAATATAATTCAAAATCATATTCAATTTAATATTGAAAAATAAATAATTTCTGTGAATGCTTGAATAATCTTAAAGTACATAGGTAGAGAAAGGCCTTAGTCGAGAATAGGAGTCATTGGTAGCGAGGCTTTGCACGTAGAGGTGATGATTTACACACAGAAGCTTTACCACCAAGTGTAACAGAGATACGAGATGACTTTCGTCTTTTTAAGGTAAAGAAAAGAGGGATGAAGATGAATTATGGCTAGAAAATGAAGAATTTAGTATGTTACAGTTATTTAATGTTCTTTGTATCATATTATATAGTGATACTGTACAGCAGTAATTAAAAACGTACATTCTTTATCCCTCATCTTTAAAGCCTCGTACCCATCTAATTTTTCGTGGATAAGTACTAAGCTGTTAATGGGGAAACATAATCTTGAGTAAAGTCTCCTCTTGTCTTGATGCTTCTGTACATTGTTATCAGTACCTTGTGTTTTGTTCATCATGGATGGCTTGTGCTTTGTTCATTATGGATGGCTTGTGCTTTGTTCATTATGGATGTCTTGTGCTTTGTTCATCCTGGATGCCTTGAACATAATTCATTCTGAATGTGTACTGTATGTTGAAAAGATAATAAGGTAATTTAATTGTGTGACTAGATAAAGTAAAATTCATAAGACACATCTTAACCTTGTCTTCATAAGAAATAAGGTAGATAAAGATGTAGGAATCTCAGTTTACCCAAGAATAGTAAGATAAGATGGTTAATGACAGCATTGGGTAAATAAGTAATACGTAACATTTCTTTGGATTCAGAACCAGGAGATTGGAGAGGCAAGATGACCACGATACTCCAGGGACCATTGATAGGGTGATCATGCTTGTGTTTTTGAGAGCGTCATAGAAGGACTTGAGTAATAAGTTATGCCAAGGTGTTTCATCAACAAGGATGTGCCTGAAGAGCCAAGGAATCCTCTCGTGGGAGCCCGCTATGTAAGCCCAAAATACAAAGCTGAGGAAGTTCCTAGAAAGACTGATTAAAATGTTGGATCTCGATAAGGTTTTTTCAAAGATCTGCATCTTCAGTCATTAGAAAACATTTTATTCTGGAGAGATCACTTTTCTACGTAGTTTAATCTTGGGGTAGGTTGTAGAGCCAGTGTGAAGTTGACCCACAAGTTAGTGAACACGTATGGAAGACTATTGTGTTGTTCATAATTGTTACTATGCTACTGGTGCTGGGACCTTGAACTTCACAGAACAATAAGTGTGATTATGGTGACTGTTACCACAATCAGTATGTAACTTAACCCCCCACACTATAATAATTAATCTTTACCCAGTTCTTTTGCATACATGTGGCTTATGTGATATACTGTAGTGTGGACAGAACTGAATCTTAGTATTATATAACCAATAAATAATTTAACATGTTTATTTTAAAGAGGTAACTACTGGTTTAAATCACTGAAATAATATAAGACAAAGGTTAGCAGACCTTTGACAATGGCCTTATCCCTATGATTAAATATTAAGAACTCTTACTTATTTATACAATTTTTCTAACAATTTATTGGTGCTCCTAATTACTGTAGCAATAAGGTATATTTGATTTGTGGCATTTCATATGACAGGTCATGCATGATGATTCAAGGTGAAGTAGTGTCTCAAATTAGAAAAAAAATATTCTCTTGTAACTAAAGTTCAGCAAAATTATAAACTTACAGCATTCAGTTTCAGTAGGCTATCTTACATTTTTTGTAGACAATTATAAGGAGAAAGTGCTAAGATAGTATAACTTATTGTTAACACATGGAAGAGACAAGAGGAGAGGATTAGGACAGAAGAGGCACTGGGATATGAGGAAGGAGTGAAGAGAAAGATGGTGCCCAAACTCTTGGAGTGTCTAGATCGAAAACAGACCTGCATGAAGCAAGGTTGTCCCTGTGCGACATGTCCAGGTGTTTGTACATTAGATTTTCATAAGCTGCATGCTCCATACTTGGTAATAATTTGTTGTTACATTAGTCAGCCTTACAATTGGGATTCAATTTCAAGTATTACGTATTTGCGAGTTGCATAATTCATTACAAATTAATATATTTGTTTGCTTTAGTTATCCCTACAGCACTACTCACAAAGAAGTGTTGTTTTCTTTATTATTGGGTTATCGTTAGCTGCGTATACTCCACAGCGCTCCTTAATAGTTCATCCTCGCCTTCTCTGAAACACCAGGCAAGTCTCCAGAATTTTAAGATATCCATTGAATATTACAGTACAGTACTATTTTTTTCTCTTCTACATTATTCAGTTTTTACCTGGTTCCTTGCATAATTTGTTTTCTTTATGTTTATTTATGCAGATACATAAGTAGATTGCATTGATAAGACAGATTATGCATTGTTATTTGCATGTGAAAGTGCCAAGTAGGTTGAACATATATTTTTGAGATTATATTCATGTCTTTTGATCTTGAGATTGCAAAAGATGTCAGAAGCTGAAATGTCACAGAAAAGTTCTGTATTCAATAACATATAAAATGCAATGAAGAGCATTGTGATGTACTGTACATGAAAGCTTCATTTAACTATGATCATGTTGCATCAGCAGCACTGACTGTGAAATATGTTGCAGTCGATATGGTTTTCTTCTTTGAGTTTCATCTAATTAGACACTTTAAAATAATCTGACTAGTGCATCTAAAACTTTACACATATTGTATATACGTTACAAGATTGGGATAGTGTTGATATTATTTGTAACAAGTGAGGCAAGATCAAAATTGCGAAGGATATTCGAACTGCCGATAATTTTGATGTAAATTATGTTCTTACAGGACCAAGGCAGAGGAACAATGAAACTTGATCACAGTTAACCAAAACCATTATCAATAGAAGGTTAGTTCACACACACACACACACACACACACACACACACACACACACACACACACACACACACACACACACACACACACACACACACACACACACAAATATGTTATATGACAAAGAGTGCTGGGAAGACGGGACACCACGAGCGTAGCTCTCATCCTGTAACTACACTTAGGTAATTACACTTAGGTAATTACAACACTGCATGTCAACAATTAAGTCTTTTGACACAGTTCTAGCTTTGTGTTTTATCATCAAATTGTGTTTTTCAGTCAGTTGAATATTATTTGTGTGTAATCGTAATTGTTTTCATGGTATTCCTTATGAAAATGCTGAAGAATTAACACGTTCAAGGTTTAAGACTTTTTCTTTTTGAGTAATAATACTTTAATACCATATATATATACTCTTTTATAAGCTGGAATTTGTGAGAAAATAATGGTGTTACAGAGGAAGGAGGAATGTTCCAAGAGTAGTTTCTGGAGTCCTAACTTCTTGTTGGACTCCATCAAGGATTCCAACCTATAATCGAGACCTTCTTTTTATTACAGAATAATCATTTTTAATGAACACTGTTGTCAGTAATAGTATCACAAAAGTCCCATAGCAACCTTACAATAAACTTATCAGGTACCATCATTTACTCAGACTGAAGTGCCCCCATGGATAGTTCAGTTGATCTTCTGAAGCCTGTCATTTAGCCAAAGGACATGAGACAAACTTAGTGTGTTCCAACGTCTGGAGATAAGCCCTGTAGGTTTATTGGGCCTCTTTCTATCGCCTCTTATTTTAACCTTTTATGTTGGGAACAAGAGCTTAGATTGTAAAATCTACATTATATGAGAGAATGTCTGTCTGTTTGAAGTTGGAAGCCACTCCCCTTGGGCCTAGCATCACTGAAATTGGCAGAGGAAATGCTCTGGGGTCTGGGATAAACATAGGCTGGTTGGGGTCACCTGAATTCAAAAAAGGGAATAGCCTGTCAGGGTTACATTCAGACCCCTACAAGGATTTCTGGCTGTGCCCACCAGCTACCCAGGAAAATATTTTCAAAACTAACTTAAAAAAAACTTATAGTAATATTGTATACATCATTATTCACTGATCTTGGCCAAATTAACAGAAGTTTCCTGTCGTCGATAATTTGGCTGTACTCGCTCAAAACAGACGAGAGTTTTCCACAGCTTTACAGGTTTCCCAAGCCACGGACCTTTATCAGAGTAAGGGGGTAACTACTCTTTTTTTCAATATTTCACACCACTAACCTCCTCTCATAGCTGACCACCCACACATTAGCCAACTATATTCTTTTATAAGAGAGAAAGAGAGAGACAGACAAGACAGATATACAGAGATAGATGGAGTGATAGTTGGAAGGATAGAGAGATGGATAGGTAGATGTATGGACAGATGGATAGATAGATATATGGTTAGATAAATGGATAGATGATTAGATTGATATTTAGATGGATAGATGGATAGGCAAAGAAATATATGAATAGATAGGTGGATAAATAGATGGATGGATAGGTAGTTGGGTAGGTAGATGGATAGATAGATGGACAGATTGAGGGATATATAGGTGGATGGATAGATAAATACGGATGGATGGATAGATAGACCAACTCGGAACTCCATTGAATTCACTGGGAGGTTCTGGAGGCCTCGAACCAGAGCCCAACCAGGGTTTTACAGTCGATTCGACCACACTGGCCTGCGTTAATGGTGTTCACACCTACTGCAATCTGAGTGTGGTGTAAGAGTGTGAACACCACTACCATAGCCCAGAGTGTGGACGGGTCGACTGTAAAACCCTGGTTGTACTCCAAATTGGACTTAGACTTTAGTTTGGGGCCTCCAAAACCTCCCAGTGAATTCTGTAGAATACCGAGTTGGTCGGTTTTTGTACCATCATGGCTAAGTCGGTTGAGACAGGTGTCTAGAAATCACCAGAACGTAAGTTCAAGTCACTCCATTGCCTCAAAATGATGTTCATTAATATATCATGCCATTGTGATTTCATCAATATAGAGAGTATTGTTTGAAATTTCAGTTTGTATTTCTGATAGCAGCTTTAAAGTTTTGTAATGTCTTTCAATATGATGAAAATAGGCAAACAGGTAGATATGGAGAAACATGACTGAGCAGTATATCATGTTATTCTGGGTGGTGGAAATTAAATTTTTTATGCAGCAGTAATAATGTTGGCATCCTGAATTACAAATGTCAAAATTGCCTATGGGTTAACATGGCTACAATGGAAAAATCAGAGTTGAATGTAAGGCAATGCCTTTGTGTCCGGCAAGTCCATTTGGTGGCTCACTGAGCTGCCCTCCTGGATAGCTCCAAATGTAAAGCACCCTACCAGGATCTAATGTGTCATAAGGATCTAATGTGTCATAAGGATCTATCAGAGACCATGGTGGACCAGAGACCAGATTGTGGCTCCCTCAATAGAGGCAAGGAAAGGCTAGGGATACAAGATGAGCTCAGGCTGTAAAAAGAAGATAGCTGGGAAGGTAGAGTGCACCAAAACAAGCAACTGCATGGTAAATGTTAGTGATCCTAGGTTCGATCCCTAGGCAGGACAAAAATGGTTGGGTACATTTCTTTTAACCTCTGTTTACGTTGCAGTAAATAGGCAACTGTTGTGGGTTGCATACTGGAGGTCAATAATTAAACTTGGGCAGTGCCTCATTACAAGCCTATGTAGAGGCTTGTATTATTATACTGTGTACACACTATTTGTCCAGAACCAACTGCTAGTTAGCAACATTCGATTGTCACCAGATGGCATACCTGGTGACTCGGTTACCTAACTCCAAGATACCTGTTTACATCTAAGTGAACATAGGCATTTGATGAAAGGAAAAATGCCCAACTATTTCTGCCTTATCTTGAGGTTATCTTGAGATGATTTTGGGGCTTAGTGTCCCTGCGGCCCGGTCCTCAACCATGCCTCCTTTTTATTACACACCCAAAGGAAGCAGCCTGTAGCAGCGGTCTAACTCTCAGGTACTTATTTACTGCTAGGTAAACAGGAACATCAGGGTGAAAGAAACGGCCCCTGTGTTTCCGCTTCCACTGGGGATCGAACCTGGAGCCTTAGGACTACAAATCCCGAGCGCTGTTCACTCAGCTGTCAGGCCCCCCAGGGATTGAATCTGGGGCTCCCCAATTGTGAGTTGAAAATGTTGCCAGCTATACCAAAGGACATTTAATTTGTTTGTTGGACCAGATTTGTGGTATTATAAAAGAATTGTTATTTATTTATTACATATAAATTTATTACAGTATTGTATTTTCACATAATTGCTCTTAACAGTTGTGCCAGTAAAAGCAAGTAGATGCAAAAAGATAGCAAAAAAAAAAAAAAAGACCAGAGGAAGCCAGAAGGGTCTGAAACCAATCTTATATATGAACAGGAATCTACTGTAGAGTACTGAATATATTGCCTGTGCATTTGTATATACAGTATATATATATATATATATGAAAATAGTAACCCATTATTCAGAAAATACCTGGAAATGTCAATTGAATATTTCAAACCCAAACCGGGACCATTTTCAGCAATGAGCAAGAATAATGGCTGTTAATTGTTTTTATGGTGTCAAGTCAGGTGTCCTAGGAATAGGTGTGACCATTGGGTAATAACCTCTTTGTTACATAATCGCTCACCAAATCTGGTAACCTCTGCCCCGAGGAGATATTAAAATTTGGATTATTAATTACAAAAGTAATTCTATTATTTTTCTTTTGAAGCCACAGTGTTCGAGATAAATTATACGTGAATTATTCCATTTACTTCAGAGATCATGTGAATAAAGTCAAAAGTAGCGTTGCTTCAGGTCTTTCTTAAGAATATTGCAAATCTGTAGTCCTCGGTGATTAGATGGTGAAATCAATAATTTTTTTTTTTTTTTTTTTTTTTTTTTTTTTAAATATTCAACCAACTTAATAAAGTGTGATATCCTAATTGGTTCCTTGACAAGGCTTTAAAAGTTGCCAAAACAAATTTCTACCACACTAACACCACTAAGCAGCAGATCACTTCTAAAAACAGCTTGGTCCTTCCATATACCGTAGTTCTAACATAGAGCATACTGCTAAGAAATTAAGCAAAAGCGAAAAAATTAAATTCGTTTTAAGTTACTCAAATAAAGTCAGTAAAGAATTATTAAACATCTATGTATCAGAAAAAAGATAAAGCTGAGGGCACCAGAGTGCATAAAATTCCTCGTAATGATTGTAATAAGACTTATTATGGCCAAACAGGCAAGGATCTAAAAATACATATTTTCAAACACAAGTTATCTGTTAGATATGGCCAAGAAAGCTCAACAGTATATAAACACGTAAGTGATACTGATCACAAAATTATATGGAGTAATTCTTGTATAATTTATCCTCTAACACTGTGGCTTCAAAAGAAAAATAATAGAATTACATTTATAAACAATAATCCAAATTTTAACATCTCCTCGGGGCAGAGGTTACCAGATATGGTGAGCAATTGTGTAACAAGGAGGTTATTACCCAATGCTTATACCTCTTCCCAG